AGCTTGGGGAAATGTCTATCTGAAGCTTAAGGATCCTGACTGCAGAGTGTACAGAACAAAGAACCACTCTCAACTGGTTACTGTGGAGGGCATGCTGAGCTATACAAGCCGTAATGCTAACTCTCAGTAATCTTAGTGTTAATAGTATTATTGTTACTATCAAGGTTCTCACATGACACACAGGAATCGGGGGGAAGTTTATCTTCTTTTCCCCATTCTGGACAGGTCACTCTCTAAAACCTGGGTAACCCAGGCTTGAATTCTGAGTAGAAAGTAGCTGTACTGCTCCTGGGAAGCCTGGAATACAGTAGTTCAAAGTGTGTCCCAATTTTCTGGGTGTCTTATGCAATTAAAAATATGGCAACTTGAGCCAGGAAAAAGATGATCTGCATGTCCCATAGGCATGATGATATATGAAGGAACATCCACCTAGAAGACAGAAAAAGGGCTTCTGACATTGTGTCTTCACAGAGAAGCAATGCTCTTCTAGAGTCCTAGTACCTGAAACAACCAACCCAAGCAAGTAGCTGAAGAATATTCTTTGTATACCAAGGGCGTAGAAGATATAGTGGCACACATTTTATTTGGAGTAGCTCTTATTTTGACCTGAGCTTTGCACATTTCCTCCTCTATCATCCCATAAAATTTGCCACGTATATTTAATGCTGTACTAAGAACACTATCCTGTAACTGGCTTATATCATTTTCATCTGTCTACCTTGTTCTATGAAGTCCTTAATGTGTTTATCTTTGTATCTCACATATATATCACAAGGTTTGACAGATTTAAACATGTAAGTAGGTTATTTTTTATTGGGTGAAAGAATGACAACAGAGACATGTTATATATTCCATTATCTCGTTCTCTACAGAGAACAAGAAAGATCAGATTGTTTTTTGTGTGACTCCTTCATTACAAAACACATTCAAATGCACTGTGTCCAATAGAGGGCACACTAGAGTAAACCAAATTCTTACCCAACTTTCTAGAAAAATGCCTAGTTGGTGCAGAAGTTGCCTAAACTTTAACAAAACCTCGGCAACTGTTTACCTCCGAGAGAGACTAAATGCCTTTCTTAACAGATGTGTAAGCTCCTCCTTAGTGCAAACTGGACTCATTTTATGTTTTGTGTTGACAGCTCTTAAACTAGCAGACGGCAAGAACTGTCTGTTTATGAAGAAGTTATCAATGTAACTCATTAAATGATTATTACATAATATGTACCCCCAAGTCACTGGGCTCAATTAATTCTCATCACTCACTCATGAACCAGACAGTCCACTTCTCCCTGAGGGGTCTGACAGGGAGAGAGAAACCATCTGCTGCAATCCTTTCCATAAATTTTTGGTCAGCAGCAAAGCCTGTGGGGCTCTCAGAAGATGGAACATCATGCCGAATGCTTGATGAAGCTGTACGCTCCAAATTAACTTCAGATTCATTTGTTACAGGGACAATGGAAGGTGAAAAAGGTGAGAGGCAAGGACTGCGCCCATGCAGAGGTGGCCCGGACTCACTCTAGCTTCTGTGTTTTTTACTAATTCTGACATTTAGCATTCTACTCTAAGGTCTTAGTGCAGCAGAAAGGGGCCTGGGTGGGTTAGGAAGAATACAGGAGAATAAAAAAAAGAAGAAAGAATACAGGACCCAAATCAAGAGTGAATATCAACAAGGCCAACAACTGTGACCAGTCATTTTACCATTGTAGGTCTCAGTTTATGCTTCCATAAAGTAAACATATTCATACTTGCCTTCAATATTCAAATTATGAAAACTCCATGCGCCATACTGTATCTTATAAAACTCTATATGTCAAGTTCCTGTCTTTAGTCACAGTCATTTTGACTGTCACCTGGTACAGTAATGACAGGTGAGTTTGAATGACTGTTTTTCCCAGTTCCTTAGCTCCTCCCCTTGCATTTCCTGTTTTCCTCAGTCTTTCTCTTGGCTTGGATACTGGTTTACACACAAAGAGAACCATGGCATCCTTTGGGAAGATGCACAGATCACGCTGCTCCTCCCAGATCACTCTAATGTTAATTCGGTAATGTGAGAGTGGTCCCCAGCAAATTTAGACTCCCTTTTACCCTGGAAGATGTCTTTTCCATGGATATAAAGAACACTCTAATCTTCCTCAATTTAGAGGAGTCATTTTCTTCCTGCTAAACTGGCTTGACAGTCTCAAACTTTCAACTCTTCTCTTGGTCAATTCTTCTTCCTCTCTCAGGGGTCAAAGAGGTATTAAAGTTGTACCTCATGTGGCATAAAAAAAGAAAGGAAAGGAGTATTTCTAGCATACCTCTCTGAGCACTGCTTTCGACCTGTGTCTATGACTACACCACAGAAAGATAAAAGTCCTGGTTCTTTTCCCCCACCCACCTTCCCAATCCACGAGTTACACAGGGGTCCTGAGTGGACTGAGTATTCTGCTCTAGCTCTGAGCACTCTGAATTCAGTTCCCCTAGAACAGTGACAGCGAAACTTGTAGTTTTCAGTGCTAACAATCAGCCGGCTGTGGCACGCATGCCATAGGTTCACCACCACTGCCCTAGAAGCACCTACCACCCAGTGGTGTCAGAATGGTATGGCCCCTTCTAGATGGAGAGGTCCGAGCTCCACCAAGGAGAACTGTGATGAGAGCAAATCACAGGTTTCAGTTCCACACTGGCAGTCCATAATACCCTCTTTTGTGACTGGACCTGATGTGCCATGTTAGACCTTCAATGAAAACTGACACGCAGGAGGATTCTGCGCCACTGTGTGAGGAGCCCTAAGGCTCTGAGTGCTCAGATGACCCGTGTAATCCTCATAATGCATCTGTGCAATACACTCTTTAGGTCTTTTTACAGAGAAGGAAGCTGAGGCTCAGAGGCTTTGAGGGACTTGTTCAAAGGAGCAAGCAATAAAATCCAGGTGTCCTTTGACTCCCAAGTCAATTTTCCCAACACAACATGAAATTGCCTAAACTATGTGCTTTGATTAAAGAACCCCATCATTTTTGCTGAATAACAATTGTGTTTCAGTGCCCGTCCTTGAATTTTATTTTAGTCAGCTTGCAGATATATTTAATTGTGTTCAGAAGAATGGGAATAGGGAATTTGAAGTTAACTCTTCTCTGGAATATGACCCCAAGTAAATAGTAAACTTTATCTCCCCTAATATTATTTGGAAGTACTGGAAGGGTCCAATCTGATTCCCCTATGAATGTATTCTCCAAAAACCTGCTGGCTGTTTTAGTGACTGATGTGCTGAAGCTGGTTTACAGTGGCTCTACCTCTGAAGAGTTGACTATGTCCATCTCCTCCCAAAGCTACATTTAGTGACAGCCAGGAATTGGCCAGTGTGAGCACATCACAGCATGGAAATCAGTAATCTATACAAACCTGCCTCTCCTTCCCCTTTGTGATTAAACATTTACTGTACCTTTACAGCTCTGTCATTCTTAGTCATAGATATCTGGTAATCAAGTCTCATTGCATCTCCAGGTCAGTTTCCCAAGAAGTCTATTTCTATAATATGACATAAGGGTGTTTGAGCTGGCACTGGGGACATGACATGCTAAATACTCCTGACTACTGACCCCACTGTAGGAGGTGTCGTGTACTTTGCAGGGTTGTCCAGAAACTTAGAATAGAACTTCTTTAAGCTCCCTGTACTATTCTCAGGAAAAGTCAGGAATAGTTATTCTCTAGAGAAAGTCCAATAGAACAAGAAGAATGGGGGAGGAGGGAAGACACATTCATCAAGAGAAGACTTTAAAATGTTCTAAAAAATATCTGTAATACCTCCCCTAAAATTTCAATGTAGATTTTCCTATTTTTGCATAAACAAAAAATAGGACACAGGCTACTACAAAGGAGCAAGGAACTTTAATGGATGTACTGACGATAGTAGGAACTCTACGGAAGGGGTAGATCCAGTCCAATCTCAAGACCTCTTTGGACTTTTATGATCTGTTTAGAAAAGAAGAGATATCACCCGTACACATGCCTGGTGCAGGTATAAAAAGAAGATCATTCTAGAAAAACTGTATGGTGATTTGTATTTTTTTTATTTTAAAAATAAAAGGAGGTAAACATTAACAGACAACCTTTTACAAAATAGTAAAAGAACAGTACAGGCAATACAGAGTTACAAACAAAGTGGTAGGAAATTAACAGTGCTTGTTGTATTACATATTGATATCTTCAAAGTGGTTTCTCATGAAAACAGATAGAGACATGCAATATGATTTGTATTTTACTGGGTTCAAGAAAATTGCAGGTCCACTCAAAACACCTTTATCCACAGCCACAAACTAGATTCAGCATGTTTGTGGTTTATAATCTACAACAGGATATTTGCATTCATATAATTGATGAAAAGGAATGAATCATTGATACACAGTGACGTGAGTGTATTTTTTGAAAAAAGTTGAGCAAACAATCTACTTTATGGTTCCATTTGTATGAAATTTAGGGATAGGCACAACTTCTCTATGGTCCTAGATATCAGAAGAGTGGTTGCCTCTGCTCTGGGGGTAGAAGAATTCGCTCCCAGAGGGTATGAGGGAACTAGGGAGCTGGGGTGGGGGATGAAGGGTCCAAACTCTTGGAGAGGTAGGCAGACAGGTAGCAAAATTCACCAAATCACACACTGTAAGTTAGAATTTACTTGATTTTTTGTTGTTGTTGTTTGTTTTGTTTTGTTTTTGGTACTTGGAATCGAACTCAGGACCTTGCACATGCCAGGCAGGCGCTTGGGCCACTGAGCCATATCCTCGGCCTCACTTGAAATATATGTGTACATATAAGCACATTTAAATTCCAGACACAGCGAGCTCAGCGAAGGCAGTCGACTGGCTCAGGTCAGGCCCAGGAACCTCAAGCTTCCTGCCGACCCCAGGCACAGTGACTTCATGGTCCCTTCATGACTTTTCAGGATGTTGCTGGGAGCTGGGACTTGAGCAACCACAGGTCCTTGGCCTGGAACGTGCCAGCTTCCCCTCTTGAACACAGAGGCCCTCTAGGGCATCCCAGGCAGTGTGTGGGGCGGGCTTAACTTTCGGCGGTGGGGAATTCCTGCCTCGGGCGTGAGTCAGCGCCCACCCCTGCGGTCGAGAGGGCAGGACGCGCCCCATAAAGCGGCCCGGCTGGACGGCGCTCCCACTGCTGCTGCTGCTGCTGCTGCTCCTGCGCTCCCGCTGGGCCCGGGACGCCGTCCCGTCCCGTCCCGTCCAGCCTGCCCCGCCCGCGATGCAGCCCTCTCGGCCCCGGACGCTGTGGCTGCTGCCGCTGCTGCTGCTCCTGCTCTGCCCCGCGCCGCAGGGCGCCCACCCTGAGAGCACAGGTGCGCCCCGCAGCCCGGAGCCCAGCGCCCCCCGCTCCAGTCCCTCGGGGCTGAGTCTGACCTTTCCTTCCCTCCCTTCCCACAGCAGGCAGCCAGGCAGAGACCTGCCTCCTGCCCCCGGACCCAGGGCCCTGCCAGGCTCGGGTTGCCCGCTACTACTACAACAGGTACAAGCAGACCTGCAGGGCTTTCCTCTTCGGGGGCTGCGGGGGCAACGCCAACAACTTCGCCACCTGGGAGGCCTGCGACGAAGCCTGCTGGAGGATCGAGGGTAAGGGCTCTAACTACCGGCTGCTCTCCAGACCCCGCTTTGGGTTGCTGTTTTCCACTTTTCCCTGCGTGTCCTCGCTGGCCTAGTTCCCCAAAAGTAGTTACAGACCTACCACCACTGCCACCGTCCTCTCACCTGACCCTTATGGCAATTCAGTGCCTGTGGAGACCCTGGGGAAGTGTGTTTTGGTTCACCACAGGGCCTAGTAAGTGCAAACGAATAATGTATCAGTTGCTACAGAGGTCCTTTTTGTGTTTACCGCTAGTTCGAAACTCAGGTATTTCTATTCTGTCCCCGAAAACACGCCCTTTGTTTCAGGCACCTGTTTACCAGTCTGAAATACCTCAGTGGATTTTGTTATTGAAAGGCGATTTAGTTCATTATGTAACTTTGCTTTTGTCCCGAGACCTAAATTTGCTTTTGTTAGTGTAGGGCTGGTATAGGTATTCAGAACACTGTGTTTTATTTTACTTTTCAAAATGTATCTAGTCGAGACTATAAAAGGGCTTTGCCATGTAAGGAACTAAACCAGGAGAAATGGATATTCATATGAATAAGTTTTGGTTAACTTCTTATGTAGAAATACAAAACAGAAACACCACTGAATATGAAGGAAGTATCGTAGCTGAGTCAAATCAAGGTAATTCACCAGATTATTTATTGGGCAATGTTTGCGGAATGTACTAATCTAGTAGTAAATACGGGCACTTTTCTCACACTAGTTTTCTAAAATGTCAGTAAAGTTTTGAAGCAAGAATAAAAAGGCTCCTTCTAACTAACTTTACTTTATTGCTTTTCTTTTGTTAGAAGTTCCCAAAATTTGTAGGCTCCCAGTCAATAAGGATAAATGTGGCAAGTCTAGTAAAGAATATTTCTTCGATCTAAAGTCCATGAGATGTGAAAAATTCGTATCTGGTGGGTGTCGCTATAATGCAAACAGGTTCCCGGATGAAGCTTCTTGTATGAACTTTTGTGCGTCAAAGAAGAGTAAGAACTATTTTTATACTATTTCAGTGTTGTTTTTTATTTATATTTTTCTGTGGAAAAATAGTTTTGAGTTGAGGGGCCTAGCTCAGTGGTAGAGAGCTTACCTAGCATGCCTAAGGTTCTAAATGAAATCCTCATTGTTGCAAAAAGAAATCAATAGTTAGATGTGAAAATAGAATGGTTTATGTTCTCTAGAGTTCACATATAATGTGATATTAATCTTAACTCTATCACCCTGTGAGGGAGTATTTTGTCCCATTTTTACACGTAAAGCTGCAAACTAGAAGTTGATGATTTCCCAAGTTCTCATTTTCTGTGTTATTTCCTTAGAACTACAGGTTGAGCATCTCAAATCTGAAAATCTAAACTTGGAAATTTTCCAAAATCTGAAAATTTTTGAGCACCAGCATGATGCCACATCTAGAAAACTTCACACTTGACCTCATGAAATGGGTCACTAGCACAATGCAAACACACTAAAACTATTGTTTAAAATTACCTTCTGTCTGTGTGTATGAGATATACATGAAACATGTTAATTTTGTGTTTAGACTTTACATCTAGTTCCCACGCTACCTCATTATGTGTATGCAGATATTCCAATATTTGAAAAAAAATCTGAACTCCAAACCATTTTGGCTGCCAAGTACTCTGATAAGGGATATTCAACTTGTATTTCTGATCTTCCTAATTTATGCATAAAATTACTGTGTTTATTAATGAATGTCTTGACCTCAAGTTTGTATAGAATTGATTTTGTATATGAATATACAAATTCATACACTGTGTTTTATTTTACTTTTGTGGAATATATACAGATATATACAGATTTAAGAATTTAATTAGATTTTATGGAATATATACAGATTTAGGAATTTAATTAGATTTTGTAATTTTTAGTAATTGTGAATTACAGGATAAAAATATCTCTATCCTATAGGATTCCCCATCTTGACATGATAGATTACTTGGATAGTATTTAGTGTTGGTGGAGAGAGATGATACATGCATTTCTCCAAGACACATAGGTTAAAAATATCTCAACAAACCATTAGATTTTGCTCTGGAAGAGACTTTAATTAAGCTATATTGTTAAATATGGAAAATCTTCACTCAATGGGGAAATAGTTATTGATGATATTGAGTTGTTTGTATAACTGTAAAAGTTCCAGTGGTTGGACTTTGAAATCACATGTGCATTCTCGATGAATAATGAAAGAAGAGCTAATTAAAACATACAACAAAATGATCAACACAAGAAAGTTTACTAAGTTATATATGCCTTTTCCCTTGAAACTTAACTCATTTTTACATGACCATGTCTGCTTTAGGGTATCAAATGTTTTCATGTTGAAAGGATAAAAGACATAGCTCCAGAAGATACTTAGCCTAGTTTATTTTGTTTGTTTGTTTGTTTTCTGGTACCCGGAATTGAACTCACAACCTTGCACTTGCCAGGCAGGTGTTGTGCCACTGAGCTAAATCCCCAGCCCCTATACTTAGTCTAGTTTATAAAAATTTAGAATTACCAAAATATAGCATGTAAGTTTACCTACAATTTGAGGCACATTTTCTTAGATGATGTTGGATTCATAATGGAGTTTATATGGGATTTGATTTCTTCAATTACTTAAGTAATCCTCACCATTTATTAAATTTGGTATCATAGCATTTCTAATTTTATTTTCTTTTTCATAAAGTGCCATCATTTTGCTACAGTCCAAAAGATGAAGGATTATGCTTTGCTAATGAAACTCGCTATTATTTTAATATGAGACACAAAGCCTGTGAGACCTTCACCTACACTGGCTGTGGAGGGAATGACAATAATTTCCCCCACTTGGAAGATTGCCAGCGAGTTTGTGAAAAAGGTTAGTGAAGTTTTCCTTATTCAGTTCATAAACAAACTTTAAAAATAGTTAATAAACAAGACTATATTTAAGGTACCTATTTAACTAATCACATATTTCCATTTCTAGACTGTTTCCACAAAAATAGCACTTATGTACTGATCTGTCTTGTCAAATGCTTGTATGGGCTACTAATAGTGGATGAAAGTTAGAACCTTATTTAAAGATAGAATGCTATCAGCCGAGTGTACAGTTAGTCAACTGACTTCATAGTCAGAAAAATAAGATCTTGTTAGCATATTGGAAAGATGATTTAAACTGAGTCTACAGAGTGAGAACATAAAATATTGATTGTTATTTTGTTGACTTTAGCCTACAAGATAGGAAAAAGGAAGAAACAAATACCTCCTTTTGCAATTAGAAGGCCGAAAAATTGGAAGAAGGTATTTTAAGAATTTTCTTCTGTGTCATCTTGTGAATACTTATTACCTGAGCAGGTATATCTGAAGAATAATATGACACCATGCAAAAACAAATCATCAGAGATTTATTCACCAGTTTTTTATTGATGTTACTTTTTCACCTCTCTATTTTATGCATAGCTAGCTGATATTCAAATGTGAACTTCTCCTTTTTATTTGCTGTTCCATTGTTTATGATACTGAATTGTTGCAGTGCATAAGATATAAAAGAAAATATGACTCACTCAGTTTTGAGGGTTGCTACTCCTTATTATGGCAAATAATCATAACTGAAATATCAATAGACAATTGTGCACTTTTAACATCCATGAGCATAAGCAAAACTGGCAGATACATGTCATTATCAATTAAAAGTTGGATTATATAATTGGCCCAAGAAACAAAGGTTCAGATTCACTAACATTTTGAAAAAATAATCCAATATGTTGATCTACTGACTGTACTTCCAATTTTATTGTGACACATTGCAATGTGATTAATAAGAGGGTTTACTTAAAATATAATAAAACACTCTTGACCAAATTAAAAAGTTAGCCAATTTATCAAACTCAAAAAACACCTAGATAAAAAAATTATATCAATACCTCTTTCTTTTTCTAAAGTGAGCTATTCTGGCTCATATTTTGCTAAGACAAAATGGGTTGGAAACCAATAAGGTTATTAAAATTTTGGTTCTATTCAAGGTGTTTATACTGCAATAAAATCATGTGTGGTTTAATAATTTAAATTCACCAATAAACTATTATTAGGGCCATTATAAATTATAAAAAGGACCATGGCAATGAGATAGGCTTTTTTTCTTTCTTTGCAATAGATTCTTAAAATTTCCTATATTTTCTTCATAAAATTTGCCTCTTACTTAGCAAAACTACAAGTATATTTGCTTTTTGCTTAAGTAATATCTCAGTGGAAACCAAGCCCAGAGTTATTTTGACAAGTAGTTTTATGTTTAAGGACATTGTTTGATTCTGGAAACTTGTAACGAATTGGCTGTTCAACAATAGAGAACTGGTTGAAGGAATTATGGATGAAGAATGAACAAATTATCTATACATGGGTATTAGCTGACCTGAAGAATACACTCATCATCATCATCATCATCATCATAGGAGTATGAAAATAGTAAAAATGGTTACTCAGAGTCAAATGTTGTGGTGCTCAATTGTAATGCTAGCACTCAGAAAGCTAACTAAGAAGGGTTACAAGTCGGAGGTCAGCCGGAGCTACACAGTGAGTTCAAGGCCAGGCAGGACTACATAGCAAGACTTTGTCTGAAAACAAAGCAAAACACAAACAAACAGGATACCTATAGTGGGAGGAATTGAAGAAAATAGTAGGCAGGTATGAGATGAAATTTATGTTCATGTTTTGAGCTCGTACCATGTAAATATATTATTTGACATAAAAATGAATAAAAACACCTTCTTTAAACATTGAAGAGGCTGGGCTATAGCTCAGTGGCATAAGTGCCTGCCTGGCAAGCACATGGTCCTGAGTTTGATTCCCAGTACCAATAGCAAAAAAAGAAACATTGAAAATAACCCAAAACAATGAAACCCAACTTACTATCAAATAGTGTCAGAATTACACAAAAGATGTATATTTATTCTCAGTGACTTTCAACACCAGTATTTTGACCATATGTCTTTAGGGTATATAATCTAAGTCTCAAAATTTTCTGAATAAATCTGTAGAAGTGTTGAATATGTAGTGTTATTGGTAAAACTGCTGTTGGTGTTTGAATCTACTGTATATGCGATACTATGTTACCCTACATTATATTAAAAACAAGTATTTGCATTTTTTTCATGTCAAGAATTTCAATTTGAAGAGAAAAATTATACAAGTATAAAATTAAAGAAACTAAGTAAAAATGTTTAAGTTAGAATTAGAAATATTAGTATGAACATGTAATTTATATTCTCTTTCAAAAAATATGATTTTCCATCCTTCCACTGAAAAGTCCTAAAAGCGATGATAACTCAGTAGCAGGAAATATACCTACTATTCAGATTTAAATGTCTCAATATTATACCTCATTAAAATAAATAAGTGCTGTTAAAAGAAATCTCTGAATCCAGGTCTGGGGCAAGAAATAGGTCAAATGAACCTTAGGCATCTTATTCTAGAAATCAAAGATGCCATAAAAGGCTAATGAATCAAATCACAAAAAGAACACAGTAACATTAAGTAGTTCCCACTGACCTAAAATAAGATAATATGAGCATCAAAACAATGACTTCAATATACACAGATATAATTAACAGAAAAATCCATACAACATTCATAGTTATATACAATATTATTTGTTTTCTAATTTCAAAATACTTGACATTCACAACTTAAAAGAGGGGAGGTTTATGGGCTCACGGGTTCCAGTGGATTCAGTTTTGAATGGAGCAAAAGGGCATGGTGGAGGAAATCTACTCACCCCATGGCAGGCAGGAAGCAGTGAGGGGAGGATGGGGATGAGGGAGCAAAAGGGGAGGGAGAAAAGGAGAGAGGAAACGAGGGAGGGAGAGAGAGAAGAATGCATTCATCTAGGTTATCTCTCTAGTGAGGCACTTTCCCTAACCTGCGCCTACTTCCTAACAGTACATTCAGCTGTAAACCCATTAGTGGACTAACTCATTCATGAGCATAGTACTCTCAGGATTCAATGACCTTTCTAAAGCCCCACCTATGAATACATGAGACTTTTGGTGCACATTTTAGATTTAAATCATAACATTCCACTCCTGGACCCCAGAAAACTCATAGTCATCTCATTGTGCAAAATGAATTTAGTCCATCTCTAATTTTCAACAATTGCTGCATTACTGACAATCCAGCCCTAGGTCTCCTCTGAGATTCAAGGCAAATTCTTAGCTATGAGCCCCTGTAAAATTTTTTTAAAAAGTTAAACATTTACTATTAAGGACCTTTTTCATGACGTCAGTTATCAGAGACCCCTGCAGTAGATTCCAATCTCCTGCCAAGTGTTATAACATATGGCGGGAAAAAGAGCAAGAAACACGAGATAGAGGTGCAGACAGGGATCTGGGATGACTGGTTGTTTGCTATGATCAAAAGGCCATGAGACACCCAGACCCTTGGCATTTATTCATTACATCTGAGTCAAGGACAATGAGTGAAGAGCAGTGGGTATTTCTGGGACTAGTATCGGCAACTAAGGTGGCCTAGGAAGATCAAAGCTTTCTTGCAAGGATGAGACATTCTTGCAAGGACAAGGATGAGACATTCTTGCAAGGACAAGGATGAGACATTCTTGCAAGGACAAGGATGAGACAAGGGGCAATGAGGAAACTGAAGTTTCTCCAGATGCCTATCATCCCCAGCATGTCTTATCTTGCCTTGTAAGCAGCACAGCAGTCATTAGCCCTAGGGTTTTCAGCTGTGACCAGAAAAAAAGCGGGAGTTGCTGCATTGGAACCTGGCTTAAGATCAGGACAACAATGAGCACAGAGGTCCCTCAGACTCAATTTATAATTCGTGGTCCCAACAATTTACAACACACAATGGCACCAGGTAAACATTTCCACCAAAAGAAATGAGTAGAAAGATAGAAAGGAATCAGCTCAAGGCAAGAATGAAACCCAACAGGCTGAACGTTGAATCTTGTACTTTCTGCCAAGTACCCAGGGCAGGTTTTACCAGATGTGAACCTCACAGTTCTTGGCCAGCCCCTTTCCGATGCCCTGACTGGTTGCAATCTGCATGGCCTCTTTCCTGGGCTGGCTCTACTTGTTGCTTCCTGGCATCTCCTCACTTCCTGGAATCTCCATTGCACTGTTGGCTTCACTTTCACAGTTTTACATATCTCCCCTTCAGAGCCACATTGTCTGGTTTCCTAGGCCTTCCTTTGAAATCTGCACGAATGCCTCCATAACCCTATAACTCTTGTATTCTGCATGCCTGAAAAAGACCATGACCCTAGCAGGCTCTGAGTGCCTGGATGAGTGAATTTGGGGAAACTCTTCCCTAGGCAGCCCTAAAAGAAAAGAGTGCCCTGGGGCTCTGTTCTCAAAGTTCTCTTCTTATAGGGGTTTATCCTCTTACAACCTTGAGCCAGGAGTTTGGTCTATGTCCTCCACACCTTCAAGGCATCTATTCTATTGTGCTGATGCAGAGTACTGGGCTTCTTTTTAATGCTAATCTTGTCAGGAAGCCCACTCCCAATGGCTCTAATTTTGCAGGTTATTCCTCTCTGGTGAAACTAAAAACTTTTTACATCTTTCAGCACTACTGTTTGCTCTTGATTCTCCCTATAAATCTGGCTAAAAGCAATCAGCAGTACCCATGCCACAGCCTGAACATCATGCTGCCTTAAAATTTTCTCTACTGGATTATTTAGTCTACCATCTTTAAATTTACCTCACACAAAATCTTAGGTCAAGGACAAAACATAAATTTTTTATCAGAATATGTATGGCATCTAGTCCAGTTTCTAATACAGTTTTCATTTCCATGGGAAACCTTGTGAGCCTGGCCTTTACTGTTTGCTCTGCTATCAATTCTGATCTTCTGAGCTCAAGCCAGAATTGCCCATCAAGTTTATTTTACAGCATTCTAGGGCTTCTCCAGTCAGCACTTCCAAACCTTTCTGAACTCCTTCAAAACAGTTCCAAGAGCTTTTAAACCATGTGACCAGATACAGACACATCAATTTCTCCCCTATTTCTCTGGTACCAATTTTCTGTGCTAGTCACTTCTCCATCTCTGAGACAAATACTTCTACAGGTAGCATCAGGGTGTTACAACCTAAATTTAGTAAATACAATGATAGCTGGAACTAGATAGGGAAAAAACTATCTGATATCTTTATCCAACTCCCACAATTTAACAGAGAAATTTGTTTGGCTCAGTAAGTTTAGTCCATGGTCAGCTGGCTCCACGATAAAAATGACATGGCAGAAGGACATGGCAAGTGAAGGCTGGTCTCCATATGGAAGCCAGGATGCAGAAAGAGGAGGAGGAGCAGTGTAGTGGATTGACAACTGGAGGTCAATTTATAACCCCCCAGCTGAACTGAGTAAGCATGGTGCTGGGTGTGGGAGGCCCAACCTGAGGACTGTTGCCAGCAGCATAAGAGGCAGAACTGGAGAAGTGAGGCCTTGGGAGCTGAAAGGCTGTTGGGAGCTGGTAGAAGCTGTAAGGAGCTGTTGATTCTTTTGGAGGAGCTTGTCGTGCTGGCTTTCCTGATGAACTTGGCTGTTTTCATCCTCCAAGGAGCTCAGGGCCTTGTTGGTACTGAAAATGGCTTCAGTTCACTTTGGGGGAGCTCTGGTCTCCATTCTGAGCGTTGCTTCTTGGCTCTGGAGGGGAAGATGGTGCACTGCTCAGTCTCCTGAAGAAGCTTGCTGTACTGGCTTTCCTGATGGGAACTCAGCCATCTTGATCATTGGAGGAGCTCGGGACTTCATTGTTGCTGAGGATGGCTGTGGTACCTTTCAGGGGAACTCTGGTTCTTACTTGTGCATAATTTCCTGGCTCCAGTGTAGATCCCTCAGCCTGCTAGCACAGATCCTTCATCCTGCTGGCATAGACTTCTAGATTCCACCACTGACCTTTGGGCCTTCCCAGTGAAGATCCGTAAAACAGGCCTGGATGAGATGTTATGTGGGCTCTGGGCTTCCAATTGGATTCGTGGGAGGCATTGTTATGGGCTTGAGGTCTTCAGCTGGACTCATGCAGGACATTATCATGGGATCCAGGCCCTCAGCTCAATTCCTTGGTCTGTGGTTTGTGCTGCACTCTTTTGTATATCATTCTTTGGGTGACTATTATAAATAAAAGATGTGTCCTGTATTATATTGTTCTACCTTGCAAAATAACTCCCAAACCAATACAAAATCCTTCCAGGTCTTCCTCCCATGACACACCTCCTCCAACCAGACTCCTGCTTCTAACAGCAGTCAGCTATAATGCATTGATGGACCAATCTGCAATCTAATGACTTTTCAAAAGCCGCACCTGTGAATACATGAGACTTTGGAGGGGCAGTAGACCATAGGACACACACATGCATGCATTTGCATACACATACACATGGTTGTTGATATAAGAGCTCATGTGAGCACATAAACTTGCTTAATTTTTTTTAGTTTTTTAAGGGCTTTATCTCATGACTTTTAAAAAATGATGAATTAACAGAAAAAATAAAGCATTTGTCCTTTTCTTTTGGTGTATCCTTTAAAATCTGTACCACTGAGAAATTAAATAATCTGTTAGCAAAAATTATTCATAGGAAATTCCACCTAACACATGTGTTAAATGTTACACAATGCCATCAATGAAAATATGAATCTAGGTCAGAATCAGTGGGTGCTAAAGCACTGTGTGACAGGTTGGTGGGGTACAGAATATTATGGGAATTGGGTTAGTATCTTCTAACTAATAAATAATTTTAACATCCATACATGTGTGACAGTAGACATTATTTGCTTCCAGTTATGGTACAATAAGAAGTGCACACCCTTTTATGAAACATCCTCATAGAAAGGAGGTGCATCTACAGTTTGTCAAATCTTTGGAGCTTACATTCATATTTCCAGGTTGTAAACAACCCCTGATGATGTAGGAGCAAATTGTAAGCAGCCAGGGGAAATAACCCACCCAATCCACAACCTTATATGCAGGAAAAGTATTCTAGTATTCCAAATCAATGAAACATTTTCAGAAGGGCAAGGGAAAGTAGTACTTTTATGGAATATATAACTTAAGAAAGCAACATGCTATTAAAAAGTTTTCTGACCAATGAGGCCTATGTTTATTGCAAATCGTTTTTGGTGGTTTTTAGAATGA